TGCAGTATATAGCTATATGTTCATGAGTTAAAAATAACTAGCAAAATTTTTCAAGGAATCTGGTTAAGAGCTGTTTACTGTGTTGATAGATATAAAAAGTCTTAATAATTGTTTAAATAATTACCTTGTTTTTATATTTAGGGAAACCTGTCAGTAGCCAGACTGATATGTGTAGAACTGACTTGAGTTTTATGTTATTAATCTGGGATGGCTGCCGTTCAGTCCGTCCATGAAAAGGAGGGACTCTTGGTACAATATTTCGAGCTGATTGGGTGACGTGCCACCTAGTACCCGCCTTCCATAATATGCTTTCTGCCAATCATAGCAGCTATTCGTGACTTTCTTCTGCAGCTTCTTGAGTGATTTCACATCTTGCAGAGTAAGCTGATAAATCGATCTTTCTTGAAAACCTGTCGGAAGAAAAGCACAGACCTCTTTCCCATCTACAAATTCAGAAAGTGCTTCTTGTCTTTGCTCCCTTTTTACACGAGAAATTGTTGCTGTCTTAGCTAAAACCAAATCAACTGCGGTATCGACAGTCCTGAGTCCTAAGTAAGCATAAGTTACTTGACATACGTTAAGTGTAAGTTACTCATAAACAGTGTTGGGGAGTAACGGATTACATGTAACAACGTTACGTAATTTAATTACAAAAACAGAGTAACTGTAATTCGTTACAGATACAATGAGAAAATATGTAATTCAGTTACAGTTACTTCCGAAAATATTAAGAATTACAAATTTAGTTACATTTTTAAAAAAAATATAAAGAAAAACCTTTGCGATATTATGTACAGTGAACCCTTGCTATAACGCGGTTCACTTTTCACGGTCTCGCTGCTTCACGGATTTGCATCATGCATTGTTAAACTTTATTGTCAAACATAATCAATGGTGGCATGTCGGTTTATAAGGATCTTTTGGCCCAGAAGAAAAAAGAGCGACAACAACTACCGATAACTATGTTCTTCTCTCAAAAACACACCTGCACCGCAGGCTTTAGAAGAAAAAAACGCCACAGAGCAGAGTCAGGATGCAGCGTCTCCGTCAGAACAGCAGTGAAATACTGTACTGTACTCACTATTTGTCCTGCTGTACTTTGTATTTTTTTTCATAATCATTTTTAATTTTTCTCCCATTCCAATCCGTCACGGCGGGGCAGTGCTGATCCCCGCAATATTAACTCTACAGTTCGTATTGATGATTAAAATTATTACTTATTTAATGGTAACTATATTATTTTACAGTACAGTACAGTAGTTATTTGTAAAAAAACAAAACAAAACAGACAACAGCATCGTCTATACCGTACTTTTATTTGTTTAACAAATGCTTGGGCCTGTAAAAAGTTTTTGTACCTTGATTTCAATGTTGTATGGAGTATTTCATTGTATAATAACTTTAAAAAAAATAAAGGTTTCTACTT